TGGATGACAAAAGTTTTTGATTTTATTTTTTCCTGATGCAGGTGTGACATGCAAACACTCTTGCGTCAGCTGAAGTCTTCAACATACACACACACACACACACACACACACGCACAAACTGGACAATACAGTGCATCTGTGTAGGTGTACTTCCTCTCATCTAATCAAGATCCTCACACACACACACACACACACACACACACACACACATCTCTTACCCCCTACATTGTCTCCCCTCACCTCAGTTGCCTGGCAACATGCTGCTGTGATATGGTTGACTGGTGGAGAACATGGAATGTCAAATGTAAGCCTTGTTTAGTCCAAACTGGTTCATTAGCTTTCCTAAATGTCCGGTGGTGCTGGAGCCTGTTTGTAATGGGAGCTTTGTTTATCTCTATTTGTTTATATCAGGTTGGTCTCCAAAGCACTGGTAGCCAATTATTTCCTTTGACTGTACATGAAATTAGAATTCTAGTATAGAACCCTAAGTAGAAAACATACTGTAGTTATATATTTATTTTTGTAGTGTCTGTAAGTGCTGGTGTTTCATGTCATGTTTGATAGCAGATATACAGAAATATTATATAATAGGCCAATAAAGAGGCATATTGTCAGTTGTGCTTGTATACACTGTACCTAACATGAACTAGAACTAGACAGCAGTAGCTTTTTATGACAGTATGATGATTCATTTTACTATTTAAGATATTAAATATATTATATCCATGTAGAAAGGATCCTTACAGTACCATTATAGACAGTAAATTGTTCAGCCCCATGCTGAACCAGCAGAGAGCGAAATAAAGACAGTTTGCAAAATGTGTTGATTAATTTATTAATCACAAATTCCACTTATTGCGTGACTGGTTAAGTGTGCTGTTCACCGCTCTGAACAGCTTGTTGTTGTCACAGATATGTAGAGGTTTGTTATTGTGTTGTTTAAATGCTAATTTGGAGATGATATGCCACTGTTACAAAACATCTGCAGTAGGAAAGCAGTTATTAATGTCCATTGTAGCAAAGGTATTAAAACCTGTCAAGTTTAAGTGCAGTAAAAAACAAATTCAAATGAGGATTTATTACACTGGTAAGAGCATAATTGACTGTCGTTATTGGAGGCTGTGCAGGATATGTTGTTTTAATGTGCTACTGAGAGTGGATGGCTAAATGTCTGATGTGTATTTAACAGTAAAATGTGTATAAAAGCATCGCCTTACCCCCAATATTCTGTGCTTTAAATCTGGAGTGCGGGATTTTTACATATAAATGAACGTCCATTATATTTAAGCCCTTGCCAGTGAGTTCACACAATGCTGCTTAAGCCTGTCACTGCCAGCTAAAGCCTCCTGGATTTTGCAGTATACTGGAGTTGTGGGTTGCGTTGGAATAGTCTTCTTTGCTCATAGAGGTTCCTCGCTGAGTGAAAGTACTTGGAAGTATTAAAGTGGCAGCCATGATAAGTGTTGTTCAAATTCTCTAAATACAAAGGAAATGTGCTTCAGTGCTTCCTGTCTTATCTCTTTGAGCATAGGATACACTCGACCATCCCATATGAATGGAAAGAAGTTAATGACTTCCACAATTTCTTGCAGCGTAACCCACCATTCGGCAGTTTTACGAAAACAAGTGATATGCCTGTCTTGCATTAATTGATTTTTTCATACAACTACATTAACTGGGATTTGTGTTGATAAATATGAGTGGGCAGGAGGGTGAGTGTGAGCGACCATTCTCAATGTGACACTGGTTTTGTGTCACTTTTGTGACCTGGAGCCCATATTCCTCCTCTTGTTCCAGTTCCAACTTTGGTAATACTTTTCACTAGGTTGTCTATGTTTATTAACCTGGAAATCCAGACCCAAATCTAGAAAGATTTAGGGTCTGGCCATGAGTAATGAAAATGGCCCAACTCGAGGGGCGGCACCAAGCATGCATTTGTAAATATCACTGCACGCAAATGGATAACACTACGACCAATCAGAACAATACACGGGGTGACGTATACGCTTAGCTACCAGCGGAGCTAACTGGTAGATTAGACTTTTGCCATATCCGGTCGGCAAAACAGCAAAAATGTCCTTCTTGCAAAGGAAAGACTCGAGCGCCGTCTTCTGTTCCTCTTTTAGAGAAAAAGCCAAGTCTAACTCGTTCATTGTAGCTGCCAAAGCTGTTTCAAACAACTGGTGTTCATCCGTAGCCATCTTGCAATGTTTACTGACTGATTCCGGACTTCTTTATCTCAGCGCTGTCGTCATCTGTTTAGTTCGCCTCTGGCCCGCCTATATCAGATACACCGATGTGATTGTGCATAGGTAATGAGCATCATTACTGATTGCCAGAGTGACTCGCTGAGCAAATTCAAATTGTGCTCTCGCGAGAACTCTGGATTTCTGGGGTATATGTTTATACAGCCGGCATGAAACAACATGGTAGAAAAGCGCGGAGCGAAGATGCACTTTTAGTAGTCTATTTTCTAAACATTGTAGTTTCACCATGGCAGACCCTGCTGCATAATCACGAAGTCCAGTGTAAGTGCAGTTGGACTGTTTTAGCATTGAAGTTGTCTTTTCCTAAGTCCTTACAAATTCTTCTTCACATCCTGACTTCATGATGTTTTCCAGCAAGGTCAAGGAAGAGTGTTTAGGAAAAGACATAGAACGTCATTTTTTGACTATTGGACCGTAGCGGTGGTGTCTGAAGCAGCAGCTAGAGTCACTCTTTCCCTGTGCCCTTATTAGCACAGGGCCTGTCCCAATACCCACACTTCCCCTAAAAATACACACTTGCACTTGGTTGTACGCATTCACGTTTAGGCTAGTGGTGTCCCAAAACAGAATTGAGGTACTGGAAGTGGTTTCCAACACTTAAAACCCACCCTAGATTCCAAGGGAGCCCCGACCCACACTTTCATTGAAGTGGAAGATGAAATTTCCCAGAACACCTTGCGAAGTCAGCAACTTCGGCAAGTTTTGGAAAACAATTTGTTACTGTACGATGGGAATGTAGGCTATACAAACAACAGATGGTTGGACTAGCGTAAACTCATCAGCAACTCGGTAGAACACAGCATCAAAATATCTAAACAAATCGACTTAACCGAACAAAATTGATCAGAACTAGAAGACGTCGTAGGCGCCTCCTGTTTTCAGCATTTCTTCTCCATTGATTTATCAGACGGAGAATAATAAACATAGCACATGCCACAACAAAAGCGCTGGAGCTGGCATTTTCAAACCTGAATGACTACTGGTATCTTGAGTCGCTACTACGCGTGACGTATGCCTGCACGTCGGCCACGCCGATTTGCATGAAGTGGTGTCTCATTTCTTAGGGAAAGATCTCTACCCTAATATTTCTCACTTCCCTCATCAAGGGTTATCTCGTAAACGAGGGCACTCAATACAAGTGGAAGATTTATTTACTATTTCACTTATCTAACTTTTAATTTGAAGAGCTAAAAATGTTTCATTACCTGCTAAGCTTTAGTGCTAACTTCAGCTTAGTGATGTCACATTTCTGAGAAGTGGCTAGTAAATCCAAAGCATGTCAACATCATCTCCAGCAACAGTACTTGACAACAGTGGAGGCTTTTGTGCAATTTTGCTGCCTGGGGCAACAGCTCTGTCATTACTATCTTTGAGATGGTGGTCATTATATGATTTCTTGCTGATGGCTTACAGTGGTGAAAGCGCCTCAGATATCTCGCTGAGAAGTGTTCTGGTGAGAGATTGTTCTGGCAAGTGGTGGTTTGTCACTCAGGGACTTGGACATGCTGGAGGAAAAGCCAAAAGAAGGCATGGGACTTTACTTATGTTAGTTTGTGCACAGTTGGGGGCTTTATTGCAATGCACTGTTTTCCAGTGTGTGACTAAACAATGCTTCTGTGAAAGAAAGCAGGGGTCTACAACCACTTATTCATCATCGTAGTATGAAACAAAGTAAAGTGCGGCTGCTCTTGACAGCACGGTTTCATCTGGCAGTGATTTATTTGTTTCTGGACGTCTTGACTGGACTCCACCGGCCTGTTTCTTGGTACAGCCTTGAGCTGTGTCAGTGGCTACTATTGTGCCAGCTGTACTTTTCTTCGGTGGGCCAAATTTTAATTTAACACACATATTTTTCCAGGCTGTCGGGCCTCCTCAGAGCTCGCAATCAGACGTGGTCATCTGTTGAATGTTTGCAGGAAAAACAGCAATGTCTATTTTTCTTTAAGTACTTTCTACTTCACACTTGAGCTGTCTTGCTGTCTGGAGTCAACACCACTGATATTTTACAGAGCTCAATGCAGTTTCGGTTATTCGGTTACTTCCACATTTTCGGATGGCGGCCAACACGGATACAGAGTACAGAAGTGGATCAAGAGAGTGAGCAGCCCCTCATTCTCTCTCTGTCTCTCAAACTCAGACCAGACTTAAATCAAACTATAAAACAGGGCAATGTAAACCAAGATTCTGTTACTTTATTGCATATTTTATCTGAACTAGGCACAAGTGTTGTTACCCTGAGAGTACACTGAGATGGAATAGGTCTGTGAGATCCATTTAAGAATCATCTGTGCTTGTTATTTTGAACCCAAGTTGTCATATTATAGTATAGCTTCCTAATGTGCACATGAGAGATATTCAGCGCTCCCTTAATAAAGCCATTATTTTAATCAGTCCTTACATTAATTAGCTCTTACATAAGATGAAAGTGTTTCTTGTGACACAGAAAATAGATGTTTTCCAACACCGTGTCCTTGAATGATGAGTATAAGCAGGCTTTAATTAGATTAAAAAAGAGGACAGCTGATCAGCTTATGTTTTTTTTATCTGAGTCTCTTGCTGAATCTTGTTATAAGTAGTCCAGCACTGTGTGTTTCATAATTCTGAAATTATTCCTTTTTACTTTTAGGTAAGTAGCATACAGAGGCATATGACACACAAATACGACGCTAAATTCATATAGTGCAGAAAAGAGCGTCAGTGACCTTGTCTTCATCTCTTCCCTGTTCTTTGCAGCACATCACCCTGGACAGCTACATCCCCTGCCTGACTGATCTATGCAAAGCATTGTGGGAAGTGATGCTGAGCTACCACCGCACCATGCAGTGGCACGAGGAGCATGACAAACAGGAGACCACCCCCGCCCCAGGTAAAAGAGCGTACTGAACCTGTTTAACCCTGTGACCTTTTGTAATGTTTCAGAATCTATTTACATTCAGAGACACTGCTCTGTTTGTTCAGGCCTACCAAAATGCAGCAAAAGATGCACAACTCCCCGAAGAATCACACAGACTTATACATATAAGATACAGTAACGACCTCTGGCATGGACCAGATCCCATAGAGAAAGCATGTGTACACCTTCTGTTCTGCACAATATGATATTTGTGGCCTCCAAATGCTTTTTCTCTTTAGTTTTTAATTTACTCATAATAAAACAAATCAGCTCCCGATACCTTAAGATAAAAAAGTAACTCACAGATTCAGTTTACAAAGACTCGGGGGAAAATGGGGTCAGCTTCCTCCACACGCTCAGGAGTGCCATTCTTTCCTGGCTTTTTTATTCCAATACGCAGTAAGTAGGTTTATCAGCTTTATAGCTCACAGAAAAGCACAATTGAATCGAGCAGAGAATATTGAATGTGGACAGGTGCTTCAGTGAAGTGGCACAGGTAACTGAAGTGGTGCATATTTTGCAGCATTTACTTAGCTCCCTTTCAGTGTAGAGGTCATGGAATGAGTCAGTGGTGGAATGATAACTTTTGATTAGACCGTCCTTTGTAAAGCATCTCCTCTCTGCAACAATAGAGAGAGATGTGCATTTGAGGGTGACAGGGGAGTGTATTTTTAGTCTTATTTAGGCCCGCATAGTGTGAGGAAAATCTATGATGAATAACAAATATTGAAGTGTGCATATTAGCTACACACTTTCTTTGTCTTTCTGCTTTAATAGGTACCCTGCTAACATCAACCCCAAACACTGAGTAGCCAATCCAATACAGAAATCAAATAAAATATTTATACTGGCCAAAATGTATGCACACTGGGTATGACTGTTGTATTTAATTATTTAAAAATGCTGTAAAACAACTTGAAAATTATCACAGAGGTACTTGGGGACTTGTTGCACAAGAATATGGTTGAGGTTGCCTCAATAGAATTTTCTAAATCTGCCGGTGTAAAATTAACGGGATATTGTTATGATTTTAGCATCTAATTATCAATAAACATGGAAATTGGTCCGCACACTGTCTCTCCCTTTAAGGCAATAGTAATGTCACTTCAGGGAGCCACAGTGTGTGGGCCTTTCTCCCTGTTTATTGTTATCGTTTAGTAGTTCAACACCTGCCTTAACGGTTTTTGGATGTGCATGATGACTTTGCTTTTTAGCATCTGACAGATATATGTGTTACATATGAAAAGAATGAAAAAAATGAAATGAATTTTAAACAAACTCTGTGGCCATTCGAGCAGAGATTGCTGAGTTTACAAGGTGCACTTGAATGCACCATGAAGTTCCTGTTCCTGTGTGAGTGTCAGACACGAGCAGCAGGACCGTAAATGACACCAAAACGTGGTAGAGACACTCAGCGTGAGTTTTTGTGACATGACTATTTTGATACTGACGTTTACCCGCCAGTGTGACGAATAGCCCGCTGAGATTTACTCACCAATTGGAAAGTCTACCACATTTGGCACTTGGCAGGCGTTAATTTCAGACCCTGATGGTGCGTGTAAATAATTTATTTTTTTTCCTAATTCATTGCATTTCTGGCAATGATTGCAGTGAAGGTAAAACACAGTTTATCATTCAGCACTGCTCCTGTCCCATTCCCATAAAAACACCCCTGTCCTGTCCAAATCCCAGAAGAATGACGCCTGTGTCATTGCATTCCTGAAAGAAAATAGGGTCTATATATATATATAAGAACTGCGTATCTGTGTTGTGCAGTAATACAGTGTTTTAATTAATTAATGAATTGCTTTGACAAGCTGTCCTAATTACATAAATATAAATTATATGTACACATTGTTGTATTTATATTGTGTAATTAATATGACCCAGACATATGGTTTCAAGGTTAATATATGCACAGGTGATGAAGCATGCATGATACATTTTTTTCTTATGGAAATGTGTCATGCGTGACTTTGAGTGTGCTCTGTTTCCAAGCTGATACAAACAGGACTTTCACGTCCAGCTGTTTTATAATGGTACTGTTTCCAGATAAAATTAGGACTTTTTGTGACATTCTTGACCTTCTGGTATCATTCCGATCCCAACATTCTACCTGTTTTATCATTTAAGGAAAGAAAAAGCAGGTTACCCGTTGTTCTATAAAGCACACTGACTCCCCACTGGAAACTCTGTAAAGCTGCACTCAAGTTACAGCCCATTATGAACCGCGAGACGACTGAACACCACATCTGTCCAAACCCAAAGCTTATATCTGGATCAACAAGGAAAGTCTTGCTTGTGTTGCAGCTTCTATCCATCCTGCCTTCAGTCAGCCAGATGTGAAACCATCAGCCTCGAGAAGCTGAGTTGTCAAGGCGAGACATACTTTGCGGTTTAGCAGTAAGCTCCACAAGAAGTTGAGTATCTTACCAGCGTAAGAAAAGAAACCACGCCGGATTTGGTTTATAACCCTTTTCACCTCATCGCTGTTTATATCATTTGTGTTGCCAAAGACTTTGTCAGATATTAGCTGCAAATACAAAACTGTCAAACTGGCTGGTACCTTCCTGCTTAGTATCAAAAGATAGCTTATTTCCATTTCCCATATTATACAGAATTCATTAGGTGGATAGATGAGGACACAAAGACGTCCTGAATGGTTGGTGACATGCTAAGTAGGATCCTTCATTAGATGCTATCCTCCTCGCAGGGGAAAGGACATACACCACATTCCCTTTCATGAGACCCATCTGTCATCTCACTATTTGATTGGCTGTTACCTCCGTCCTCTGTATAAAGGTGTCCCCGACCCTGGCTTTGTCCTGGCTTTCACCTTTCTCTTTTTATCCTAATGTGTGCCGGGTCCATCAGAGTAATGATTTAGTGTACAGGCTTTTTGTCATTTGTTGAAGAGAATGACCTCCGCAGGCGGTGACCTCCATCTCACACAAGAGGCCATCAGAGTCGTACCAGTCAGACCCACTGAAGATCACTCCTCTTCTGTCACACACACACACCTCTCATCTCACTGAGAAAGCAAGAGGAGCATCCCACTGAATTTAAACTTGTGGCCACTTGATATATCGAGCTGGTCAGTGTAATGTTTCAGTAATTAATCTTGCCACTTGATAAAAGGAAAGGTTGTTTCAGGAAGTAATTTGAGCCAGGGTCATATCCCTACCTGACAAAATGGATTTGCTGCTGTAGCACACACCCTGTCATGTCCGATCAGCACTGACGGCCATCAGGCACAGGGCTGGCTCCATGTGTGTGAAAGTAAATAACCAAGGCCAGACTGTGCTGCTGTTACATGTTCGCACAGAGCACGGGCATGCACCATGAAGGCTAGATTGGAACGTATGGCGGCTGTCTGCTCTGCTATGATAAAGAAAAGTAACAGTTTTCAGCAGTCAGGGTGAGAGGTGGCTTTCACACCTCATTAATTTTTCAGTAGCAAGCAAGTAATGTGGCATTTAAACTAGGTGGCACGCTGTGTGAAATAATGTACAGTTTACCGAACCCTCCCAGCACATACTGCAATTTAATTTTTTGATTGACCCATTTCATCTTACTTTTTTCTTCATGTCAACCTCTAATTTTTAACTCAATATTTACAACCTGCTCATAGATCATGTGTTTACAGTAATTGGATTTATTCGCAGGCCCTTTAAAGGCATCTCCTGTGAAGGACTCTCAGGTTGCAACCAGCCTGTCAGCACTTTAAGGTGTGCATGTGTATTAAAAACAAAAGATCAGATCAGTCTGTGTTTGCACAATCCAACATGTCCACCACCGCTAGGAAACTGAAAAAAATTCTACTCAGATGCAAAAAATGAATACAAAAAAAAAAAAAAAAAAAGACAAGCTGCTTTGCCCTTCCGCTTTTCCATATTGTAACATGATAAACAACATGTTAGGGCATGTTAATCAGAGGCTGCTTTAGGGAATCATTAATTTCATTTCATTCATCATTCATTTCTTTTGCAGAATAAGGGCAAAAACCAGAATATTTTGTGCATATAAATGTACTCACTCCCAGTAAATGTGGCCTTCAGTACTCTGAATTGAACATTAGGCCAACACAAAAACATTTGGATGTCTTATATAGATTATATTGTATTAAATGAGTGACACAAATTTGAAGGTATTTTAAAAACCAAAAAGATTCTGGGCTTATGAGAAAACATACAGGGCTGGAGCCCCAGAAGCCACTCCTTGCTCCGCCTCTGGTCGTGACTTTTTTTCTTGCTGAATTTTAATAGATTTATGCAAAGCCATGCACACGCTGCTCCTCTATGAGTCATAGTTTGGAACCAGTGGGGAGCTAATGCCCCTGGAGGTGTTTGTCCAGTGAATCACCAGAAACTCCGTTACCCACAATGCCACCAAAGGTCAAACACCGGTTACCACCTGCAGTGTGGCAAAGACCGTCTCTCCTGATCATTTATTATTTCCTCCCTCTCTGTAGCAACTCTCGTTAATGACCATTATTAACGAGAGTTGCTACAGAGAGTAGATAACGTGGGGCGGCTGTCTGCAACTTCACCAGGTCAGCAGTGGGAGTTGGCAGTGACACGAACTGTACTGACGGCAACTGCTGTGAGGAATTAATGGGGATGTACTGTAGTTGTTTAAAAAAAATGAATGGAAAAGAGTACTGAGTTATATGTGCCGAAAACATTATGGATTCAGAAATCTCATTTAAAGCATCAACTAAACCTTCAATGTGTTTTTAAGAGATTGTCTAAAATCGTGATGTGACTTGTGGACTTTTGAAACTGGTTAATTACCCACGTCTCTCTCACCTTTATCACGGCGCACAGCATCAGTTTTACTTTGTCTTCGCTGAAATGTTCTCTGCTCTCTCTTCCTCACACCCCTCCATTCCCACTGCCGTCCTTGTGCTCATTAAATGAAGCCCAGTTATGTCAAGCTGCCGTGGCACGAAGTCTCCCAAGCCCTTTGTTCTT